ATTTTTCCTTGGACTCGCCGTACTGACTTCCAAGGCGAGTCTGTCGGAATACCTCAAAGTCCCTTGTACCTCCATGTTCCTCTAGGACATGTCGTTCCTTCCCTAGATTGGCAGCTGGCCTGAGTCGTGGGAGGGGACCGAGTCTTTCAGAAACCCTTAGGTCATTGATCTTCGAGCATATGTGGAGGGGATTTTCTCGACGTTGCTTTAAGAAGTCTCGGCAGTCAAGATAAACGGCTTTCAATTCTTCCAACCCCTCTGCAAGAAGGTGTCTTCCTCCACTTCTCCTGTTTCGGGTCGAAACAGCTGGGTTGAGAGAAGTCTCATGTTGATCAATGTTTTGATGATTAGCTCGCTCCTCATCAAGGATACCCATGTCGAAGGAAGGTGACCCTCCGTGTTGGGGGGCACCCAGATGATGGTTGATGTCCACAGGGGCAACAAGCTCGCGTGTTTGAGTACACATAGTTTCGTGGAGCGTCTCAAAGAGCTTCTCATACTGCTCCTGGATGACCTCATTCTTCATTGCTATCTTGTTGTTTTGAGCTTCTAGCTCATCGACTTTAGCTTGAAGAGCAACCCTCTTTCCTTCCTTCTTTCGTTGTTTCACACTAGGTGCAAGAGGGGTGTCATTCTGTGTGATGTGGCTTCCTTCACTCCCCATGTTAGAGAAGGATGCCTGGTCAAAAGAAAGTGTACTAATGGTGGAAACCAGCTTGATAAAGCTGAAAAGAGTGGGAATAAATGTCGTTCCCACAAACGGCGCCAAATGTTGATGCACAAAATCAGCGAGGATTTTGGTACAACAGAAAGTGTCAAGTTTGTGACCTTCGCTAGATTGTTCCGGTCACTAGTGTGGATAAGTATGTAAATGGATAGGGACAGGGAAGCAAACACAAGATGTACATGGTTCACCCAGATTGGCTACGTCCACGGAGTAGATGAGTTCTCATTAATTATGAAGGGTTTACACAAGTACATAGGTTCAAGCTCTCCTTTAGTGAGTACTAGTGAATGATTTAGTACAAATGACATTAGGAAATATTGTGAGAGAATGATCTCCATTTATAGAAGAGAGTTTCTAGTTTCATTCTGACATTGACACGTGTTGTGTTGTGATTGGCTTATGATCTTGACACGTGTCGCGCTATGATTGGCTTCTGATGTCGACACGTGTCGTGCTGTGATTGGCCTCCTGGTTGGAAGGAAACTCTTCTGGGTCCTTGACGGTATAACGTTGACCAGTGCTCAGTAGTTTCAGGATTGGGCAAGTATGGTACAAACAAACCTTATGATTTGGTGGTTAAATATTGGTCATAAATCAATGTATGAAGAATCAGAAATTTGAAGTAAGGAATATTTAATTAAACTAGTATCTAGTTGGACTTATCATCGATAATTATTTCCGAAAATAAGTAGTTCGGGAGTAAGGCGTTACAGATTATGCATCTTATGCCATATTATACATATATATATATATATATATTTAGGAATACTATGTTATGGTTGAATTTTGATTGCATCATGGTATATTCTTATGTATATTACATGTACATAATCATTGTAAATGCTTGGAAGCGTGAAGGTGAACTCAGGACACCCAGGTAAGTTCAGGTGAGTTTATGGTATTAGTTGACATGATGGGGTAATGGCATGACTATATTATGTCTTAAACAACCCCGACACTGTCGTACAAGTTGCTCATGAATCGTACATGTTATGTTGAGATACATTGAGAGCTCATAAACCTGCACCCCGTGTTAGTGCTCTCATCCGTGGCCAGGGCACAGTCCTTCACGTGATGTTCACCTCCCGCACCTTACGCTCACCTTGGATTCAAGGTAGGTGCACAGGCCTATCGTACAGACCACTATAGGTGGTTCCGACTCGTAGGTGACCCGCGATTATTCGTACAGTCTTCACGTGATCGTAGCACTTGAGCATATTTATTTACACCCAGTCCTGTCGTACAGACCACTTTAGGTGGTTTCGACTCGTGTGCAGGTATACTTATTGAGCTATGGATAAGTCGTACATGTCACTAGAGGTGACTCCCGACTTATGAGCTAGCATATGTGATGAGATATGGATAAGTCGTACAGGTCACTATAGATGACTCTGACTTGTGAGTTAGCATTGATTGATGAGATATGGGTGCAGTCGTATAGATCACCATAGGTGACTCCGACTTGTGTGCTAGTATGGGTTATTAATCACATGATTATTGATATTGCTGATAAGATGTTATGTTGTGGTAGATTTATGGTTTACTGTTGATATACTTTTGATTTCACATTGATACGTGGTATGATTTTCTGCAAAGTATACAGGTGTTGCAGCGAAGGGTTATAATGCTTTAGATGGTTTCTATTAAAATTTCATTTCTATGGCCACTCACCCTTATTTTGTTTTCACCCTCCAGGTTTTATTAGCTAAGCTTTCTTATCATCAAAGATTTGTGGCCATTCTTAGTATTGGAGATTCTTTCGAGGGTACGATTCTTAATCCACTTTACTGTACTTACTTACGCTCTAACGTCAGGTGTGAAGTGGGTTCCTTCCCGCTCACTAGCGCACTCTAGTATTTAGGCACTCATAGGTTTAAATATATTCACATTTTTCCACATCATCACACTTTATGGCTTCGTCACCTTCTAGGTGTCGGCCAGCGCAACTCAATTCGGAGTCCGAGTGGACATTCCGGGTCAGGGTGTGTCAATTAAACAATACTATTACAACTTTACAACTTTACAAACTATTAAACAATACTGAAAATATATAAAAGTTTACATAATATCTCCCAATCCTCTTATTCTTGCACGACACAGAAATACTTAGTCTTGGCCACTCAGATACGCTCTGATTCTTGCCCACTCAGAGATGCTCTAATTCATGACCACGTAGAAATGCTGTGAGTCTTGGCCAATCAGATACACCTCTGATTCTGCCTAAGCTTTACAAACAGGGCTAAGCCTTTTTTCTTGAACAGCCCAGCCTTGCTATCTAGGGCGTTTCGTCCATTACGGTAGTATCTTTTGCATGTTCTTCCATATGCAAAACATCCAAGTAACTTTTGGTCACCACCGTCTTCGACAGTGTTCAGCCTCGTCTTCGACAGTGTTCACCACCGTCTTCGACTATGTTCACCACTGCCTTCAACGTTACTATGGTATCTCTCTATGTTCTTGCATATTACGGTAGTATCCTCTTCATGGACTCTCTAGACCACCAACCACAACATACATGTGTTTGCTAATAAGGATTTTTTTTAAAACTTGTGTTGAGGGTTTAGGATGGGAGGAGAGTTAGGAGATGGTGGAGGAAAATGAAGTATGAAATATGGATGAGAAAAATGAAGGGAGACACAGACTTATAAATTGCAACTGAAGGTTTAACCGACGAACTACTCCATCAGGTAAACCTAGACATGCGTCGACTAATATTTTGGTCGGTGGACATTTTTGACATGTGGCAAATGAAGTTTGACCACTCTTGGAAAAGTTTCCTGACAAATACCACCATCGGGTAAATTTATACATCTTCACTGGCTAAATCATTTCCTATTTGGTGCTAAATTTTTATCCGATGAATGCTCTCATTGCCTACGAACTATGTTCGGCATGTAAGACCTTTTAGTCAACCAATGTTGCTGAATTATTTTGCCCTACCATTGACAATGTCCATCGTGTAAGTGAAGGTTACCTGACGAAATTTTGTCCGTCACCTCAAAATTCGTAGGGCAACCTCAAATTTTTGATAGTGTATTTAGTTGGCTCTCTAATACCATATTGGTGCGATGAAAGTTAAGAACTAAAATTAAACCCTCTTGTTGTCAAATTGTAGTATAAATGCAAGTATGGATCATTCTAAACCGGGGATTAGGAGGGCTTGCTAAAACCTCTAAACTTACTCAAAAACATAAAAACAAAGTTAAAAACATTTAAATAGACTCAAGGGACTCAAAACAACTTAAATACACTCAAAATTGCCTAAAAACACTTACTGGGCAGATTTGACTCTAACACAACTTTGGATGAATTTAGTGTTTTGGTTTGAATCAAAACACTCAAAAACACTAACGAAATAGAAATTTAACACTTTGAAGCAACAAAGTAAAGGGGGGATTTTGGTTCTGACGAATTCGAAACAAACAAACAACTTATAAAATTAGACAGATTGTAAAGCGAATTTAAGAAATGGATGGATTAGCTAGAGGTCCGTTCTTCACACATGACACACTTGTACATGAATTGATTTCCAATTGCTTTTCAATAAACTATGATGCTCAACACCCCAGATTAACCGTGATGCACAAATTAACCCTCAGATTTTCCTTTACTCATTGAATTGGATGAATGCATGCGACAACCCAAATCATTCTCTAAAAGTCCCCTATATGAATGCATAATAGAGATACAATCAGAAATCATTACGTTTAGTGAAAATCATAAGGGTTGACGAGGCAATTGTAACTATGAATGCAGGATACGTTTGCCAAGAATTCAATTAACGCGATTGTGACAAGCAACCTTCACTACTCATGAATATAAACTTGTAACGATTAGGTGAAACTCATTTATATTCTAGCATCTAATTCATGCATGAAAACTAAGTATGCATCCTTAATAAACATACAAGAATCAGTTATGAAGAAAATAAATAACTGAATTGCAATCACAACTTATCAAGTCACAATTGGAAGAAATCAATTCATATCTCAAGCATTTTCATGGCTTCAAACTTCCCCCTAACTAAATAGGGGTTTAGCCACTCATAATTGCAACAAAATTAGAAAATAACAAAGTAGACATTGAAAGCAGGAACGAAGTACACCTAAAACGCTCCAAAGTTCCAAGCTTGAAACGCCAAGGACCTTTGTTTTCACCACCTTGTTGCAGCGCAAGTGTCTAGGATGTGTATGGATATATAGATGGAATGGATCTCACGGCTAAGAGATGAAAGTGTATGGATTGGTGAGATGTAGTATGGCTAGATGAATGGATGGAGGTCACGGCAAGGAAAGGGATGAAAGTGTTTGTGAATGTAGCTTCTTGGATGGATGGATGGAATGGATCTCACGACATGGAAAATGGAAATGTATGGAGATGTGTTTAAATGTAGGGATGAAATGGAATGGAGCTCACGGCAAGGGACTTGTGTTTGTGAATGAAGTTCTTTTGATGGATCAAGATTGTCCTTAGGAAGGGGAATGGTGGATGTATTTATAGGCTAAGGAGAGGACCACTTCAATTCCTTGCATGTGCAGTTTGTATGGGTGTGTGATGTCCATGTTTCCCTTTACATTTGCACACATATTCTTCATCATTTCAGCCACAAAACAAACACATTTTCTGCCATGTTTCTCCTTTACATTTACACACATATGTTCTTCATTATTTCAGCCAACAATCCACCCATTTTCTGCCCATGCCAAGCCCTCCATGTTGTGCAGTTTGTATGTGTGTAGTTGTCCATGTTTCTCTTTTGCATGTGCCATGCCTTCTCTTTCTAGCTGTGCATTTCCACTTGCTCCAAAGACAAATGAGTGCAATCATAACCCCATTTGCTGCTGAGTGTTGATGACAAAGCAAAACACAAAACAAGTGCCTTTACTTTCTCATTTTATTAGCCAAATCTGCTTAGCCCTTTTCTGAACCTTTCAGTGTTACAATGCCCATAACTTCTTCTAGAAAAATGATATTAATAATCTGTGAATTGTTCCAGAAAATAGACATCCGTAGCTTGCCAACCATATAAGGCTCATTTTCTCATTCATTCTGAGCTGTTCGTAACATGCTTTCAAAGTCAGCTAATCTGCACATGCAATTTTGACAAATTTGTTACTTAATATCTCACTTGTACTACTTTTCTTTTCTTTGCTTGATAAATCACACAAAACACAAAAACATAATAAATAACTCAAAAATATAAGGAACTAACTAAGAAAAGACAAGTGAATTTTATGTAAAATATATATAAATATGAGCTTATCACATATTCCAATATATTTGGACTCTACTCATAACCTCAGTGTTCAACGATCGCTTACAACTTCGACACAAATCTTACGATCTCTTGATTTTAAACATATCTGATAGACTGAGTAGATATTCCATTATTCCCATGATGCTAGAACTTCAATTACTCAGATCTTGAACCTACATATTACTGTTTTCAGAGATTTGGATGACTTACAAGCCCAAGCAAGTGCATTTCATTCTCATCCTCTCTGATTTACAAGCCCAAGCAAGTGCATTTGATTCTCCTCCTTTTTGGTCAATTTTACCAATTTAAAAGCAGAATAAAAGTGAAAAATGAAAACGATCACTTGTTAATTTTTTCATTATCAGCTAATTTATATGATCATTATCAAAAGTTAACCCATTTCTTTTATGAAAGGAAATGACCTCCAACATTATCACTTGTTATTTTTTCATTATCGGCTAATTTTATACGATCTTTATTAAAAGTTAATCCTTTTTTTTTTATGAAAGGAAATGACCTCCAACATTTGCTAAAGTCAACATTTTGCCAATGTGTGGAATTTTAGGGAAGGAAGGTGTGTACTATTCTTTGGGGCTAGAATTTATGAAAGGAGATTGATTCCTACGCTCCTCTTTTGACAAAAAGGAATGGAAATCACTTTTCTTTACAAAATTGAGCTCGAAAAGTAGGCACATGCAAAATATGTGATCCATTTGATGGATAAAAATTGAGCTCAGAAATCACTACTCCTTACGAAATTGAGTTATGGATAAAAGTTAGATGTATATGCAGGTGGCTTATTGGGAAAATAATTATAATTTTTGTTCCTTTTTAGCTTTATTTTTATTTTTATTTAAGATGGTAAATACAAAGTAATGAAAATTCCAGGTGTCATTGTTTAAGGAGGTATCGTTTTTCTTATCCATTTTGAAAACCACAATTGTTCAGAAAGTAATTAAGTTAATTAAGGTGTTAAACTTTAGGGCTCAGACATTATCTGCCATTGTCATCAATCCCTCTCGAAAGAGATGAGAGAATCAGCCCTTAGCTCTTACAGCTTTGATCCATGAACCCTCAGGATAATATGCCGTAAACTATAATAAGCCCCTCTGTCCAAGTGCACCAGCCAGCTAAAAGTTAATAAAAAATTCCATCAACCAAATGCTAGGAATCACATGCATATCTCAAAAGCAGAAGTCCTATAGCAAAAGGACAAATTCTACTAATTAAGCATGACATGTGAATGTTAAAGAATTGCAATATTATTAGAGAGGAATCCGCATTTGCACGTGGTGTATAAACTAATGTAACAGCTTTCAATACCCTTGAAGCTTTTATATTTATATATACATCCTTTTGGGGGGGTGTGTGTTTGTCTCTAGGAGAGAAGAGAGAGGGAAGGAGGAGTGAAAAGGTTGGTCTTATTCCCATGCCCGTACCAAGGTCACATAAATCCAATGCTTCAGCTGGGTTCCTTCCTTCATTCCAAGGGTTTTTCCATTACAGTTATTCACACCCAGTTCAACTCTCCTAACCCTTCAACCCACCCGGAATTCACGTTCTTTCCAATACAGGATGGCTTGACTGCTGAAGAGATCTCATCTGGGAATGTATTAGCCTTTCTGCTGGCTATAAATGCCAACTGCAAAGCGAGTTTTCGACAGTGCTTGACTCAAGTTATGGAACAGGAACCCGATAACAAAATCACCTGCGCTATCCGTGATGACCTTATGTACTTCACTGAAGCTGTGGCTAAGGATCTAAACATCCCAAACATCATGTTACGAACTTCCAGCGTTACCAATGTTCTAGCTCGTACTGCTGTCCCACAACTTCATTCAAAAGGTCACATCCCATTCCCAGGTATGTGCTATATATTACCTCATCAGAATATAGAGTCTATGTCTATAATTCTGCAAAAGCTATTCTAATTCCCGGATATTCGTTTTTTCTTTATAACTAAGAACACTACACTGTTGGATTGCAAACTCTCAGTCACTGAATCCAGTGCCCGATTTTCATCCCCTCAGGTTTAAGGATCTGCCCACCTCCAACTTTGACACATTTGAAAAGTACTCAGAACTAGTTGTTAATGCATTTGATGTTAGGACGGCATCAGCAATGGTTTGGAACACCACTGATTGTCTTGAACAATCATCACTAGCACAGATCCAGCAACAATTCCCAGTTCCAATCTTCTCCATAGGTCCTCTTCACAAGATTGAAGCAGCTGCTTCTAGTAGCTTACTAGAAGAGGACACCAGCTGCATTGCGTGGCTACTCAAGCAATCTAACAACTCGGTTATCTATGTAAGCTTGGGAAGTGTAGCATCCATCAGTGAGATAGAGCTCGCTCAAATGGCTTGGGGATTGGCCAACAGCAAGCAGCCTTTCTTATGGGTGATCAGACCTGGCTCAGTAAGTGGTTCAGAATGGATTGAGCTACTGCCTCAAGGTTTCATAGAAGCAATTGGAGAAGGTGGCTGCATTGTAAAATGGGCACCCCAAAGGGAAGTTTTGTCGCATCGAGCAATGGGAGGCTTTTGGAGCCACTGTGGTTGGAACTCAACCCTAGAGAGTTTATCTGAAGGGATTCCGATGATATGCACACCGTCTTTTGGTGATCAGAAGGTGCATTCAAGGTATGTTAGCCAAGTATGGAATGTAGGGATGCATATGGACAATGAGTTAGAGAGAGGAGAGATAGAGAGAACTGTCAGGAAAATGATGGTAGACGCTGATGGGGAGGTGATGAGGGTTAGGGCCAAGGATTTGAAGGAGAAAATAGAAGTTTCTTTGAGCAATGGTGGTTCTTCGTACAATTTCTTGAATAAGCTTGTGGAACTTATCATGTTATTTTGACTACAAAAACAATGTATTACCACAACCTTGAATAAAGCAGCCTGCAGAAGGATGCAAGGAAGAATTTCGTTGTAGTCCATCCTCAACCTTGAATAAAGTTTCCTATTGTAATGCATTAGTTAGTCGCACAAAACCAAAACTTGAAGCAAAAGAGCATGTTGATATGATTCCAAACAAATCGAAAAACCTTGTTTGTCACCAGGTGTATACACTCGTGCCTGTATATATCTATCAGTAACATTAGCGTATAGATATGCAGTTGTATATACCTTTGACACAAGAGAATCTCTCTCCTACAAATCGTAGACGAAAGAGGAAAATATCTCTCCTACAAATAAAAGATGTTTGTCTGCTATTTTTCATTGATTCATTCGACCAAACTTTGGGGGTCCAGTAAGATACTGAAAGGGTCCAACCAGATTTGCGCTTTAATTTAGTTAGGTATGTTGTATGCACAACGCAAACAATTGTACCCAAACATCACATATGGCCGTGAGGAGAACAACAACGTGAGTTGCCTCAGTTCAGTACCCCCACAACAGAAGGTGTTGCGTAACCTAAAAAAAAAATAGAAATTGTCCATTCATTTTCCGGAGAAAAACTTCATTGCGGGCATCTAGACCACTTGACCATCTGTCTGCACACACAAAGCACTGTCTTCGCATTTGTCTCACCCACCAACTATAGCGTGGAAGCTCTATCATCTGCCCACAGACACAAAGCACACTCTCTGCATTTTGATCCCACCCACCAACCATAAAGTGGCGGCTCTACGAAAGTTTCACTTTTTTTTGCAGAGGGTAACAAGTGGTTTTTGATTGAACTGGCTATATTCTACCTTTGACTTCTATGTTTATTGAGTTATATTTTCAGACACAATAGGTAACACAAAAATTATAACACAAAAATAAAGCCAATTGTCTACCTACGAAATTTCCTTCCCACTAGGTTTTTCCCAAATCATATCCCTAAAGTCTTCTATGTTATTTTAATATAAGGACTAACTAAACGTAAGACCCTTATCCAATTTCTAGGAAATGTAGTTAATTAGTTAATATTCTAAACATGCTGACTGACCAAGCAATTCCTAGGGCTCCTAAAACATGGTTACATTCAAGGTAACAATCAGACATCTCAAATTTTTGGACAGAGGACCAATAGAGAAAGCGACAAGAACACTGATGGTGGGCAAAGAAGGGGAACAAACCAGGCAAAGAGCAAAAGATTTGAAGGGGAAAATCAAGCTTTCTATGAAGCAAGGCGGCTCTTCCTACAACTCCTTGAACGAATTGGTAGACCTTATCTTATCATTCTAATTGCACAATGTAAAAGACAAAATCATATGTAATGATATAGATATTTTGGTTTGACAGTGCGATATTATACGCTATTTTAACTCATGGGAAAAGGCAAGTGACTCTGTATTACAATGAGAGTTGCTCTTGCACCACGACGTATGTTTGAACCCTGTCGGCTCCCAAATCTAACATCTAATAACCTAACAAATCTATCGTTTGACAAAAAATAAAATTTAAGAGATAAGAATTTGAACTTGGCTACAAAGGAACGGATACACTAACCATAACCGCTAGTCTAACTATTGAAAGTGTTCAGTCTGCATGGACGGTTGCATAGGTGCCTGCATGGATCGATTCCAGTTAGCAGCAAAGGATGAAATTAGTGTGCAAATCTTCTTCGCCTAGCTGTTCCCTAGTTGCTCACTTAATTGTCAAACGAGCAATTATGGTGTATCTTACTTTATCCTCCCTTTTTTACTTTAAGGACCAAGGGTGGCGTGTGTGTGCTCTGTATGCTCCATTGTGTTGCTATATGTAATGGTGCTTTGCACTTCTTAACATATATTCAGAGTATACAAAAGAAACCCTTCAATTTACAACACGGTATTAGCGTAGTGTCTTTATTAGGCTTGTCTTTGCATATCTTTGTGTGTGTGTGTGTGTGTTTTTTTTTTTTTCCAGCTAACACAAACGGCGGAAGAAGGTTCAGTAAACCAAGGGGCTAAAAGATCACTTGCTTCTCCTCCTTCAAACATCTCAGAGGCTGATGTCAACCCTAATCAAAGGTTGTGTTCAATTGTACTAAATGAGTTCAACTATCTCCCTCTGTCAAGATCAGTCGCTTTGGCTCTCGGTAGAAGGGCCAAACTCGCCTTCATTGATGGTGTTGTTCAAATTCCAGAAGCCACCTCTCCAAATTGTGATACATTGTTGTGCAAAGACCAATTGGTCATGTCATGGCTACTCAACATAATGGAGAGAAAAATTGTAGAAATCTTCAGTTATTCAGACTCATATGAACACATATGGGAGAAAGTGGAGATGTATGGAAATCAAAACAACGCAACTAGAATATTCCATCTCAAAAGAGATGTTGTAACTCTTCAACAAGAATCCAAGTCATTCGTGCAACACCTTGGTGATCTCACTACTACATGGAATGAGCTAGATATCTATCATCCTCTATTGAATTTCAAGGTTTGTATATATTTCATAAACTTTACCAGAGAGAGAACAAAGCTCTTATAAAGAGCCGGAGAACAAATTACAAGATAGTGGACTTTTTACCACTACCCACTACATGGTTTCTGCGCTTAAAAACCGGACACACCAAGGATAGAACAAATAACAATATACAATTAAGCAAATCCCAGATTTTAGGAAGAAACATTGACAAAAAGAAAAGTATGATAGAACAAGAAGTGAGATGACAAGTTGGAAGGTTGTAGCCATCACTTTAACCCATAACTTAGCTATAGTGATAATTACAACCCATACTTGTGACTTTGATCTATTTCAACACTCCCTCTCAAGCTTAGATCAAGGAGATTGATTGATCCAAGCTTGGACAAAAGACCTTGAAACACGGCAGTCGCCAATGGCTTGGTGAAGAGATCAGTAAACTGACAAGAACTCAGAGTGTAACGAGTTTGTATGATCTTTGATTGAACCTTTTCACGGATGTAATGGCAGTCAACCTCAGTATGCTTGGTCCTCTCATGAAAAACAGGATTAGAAGCTATATGCATGGCTGCTTGGTTATCACACATGAGAGTCATTGATTGAGAGCTAAGAAACCCTAAATCAGAAAGAAAGCGTATGAGCCAGATTAATTCACAAGCAGTAGTTGCCATAGCCCTATTCTCGGCCTCAGTACTTGATCGAGCAATCACACTTTGCTTCTTGCTTTTCCAACTTACTAGATTACCTCCAACAAAAATACAAAAACCAGTAGTTGACTTGCGATCTAAGGAGTTGCCTGCCCAGTCCGTGTCAGTGTAACCAAGAATGTGAGTGTGAGCATTGTTTTGCATCAAAATACCACGTCCCACAGAACCTTTCAAGTACCGCAATATTCTCTTAACAACTTGCAAATGATCCATTGTTGGAGAATGCATAAATTGACTCACAAGGCTAACAGCAAAGGCAATGTCCGACCTTGTTATTGTAAGATAAATAAGTCTCCTAACTAACCTTTGGTAGTAACTAATATCAGTGAGTGTTTCCCCATCCATGGTCATTTTGTGTTTGCAGTGAAGGGGTGTAGAGGCAGGCTTGCAATCCAACATATCAGCTTCTTGAAGCAAATCGAGAATATACTTCCATTGATTCAAAAACATTCCATTATTAGAAGTTGCCATTTCAATGCCAAGGAAATATTTGAGTGTCCCAAGATCTTTGATGGCAAACTTCTTCTTGAGGGTGTTCTTTAGTAACACAATTTCACTAGCATTATCACCAATGACAATGAGATCATCTACATAAATAAGAACCACTAGGGTTCCACTAGGACAAATTCGAACAAAGAGAGATGAATATGCATTGCTTCTCTTGGAGCCAACTTCTTCAAGAACTGAGCTCAACTTTGAATACCAAGCACGAGGACATTGTTTTAATCTGTAAATGGATTTGTGCAGTTTGCAGACCAACTTGGGGTCACTAGATTGAGGATGACCAGGAGGAAGTTTCATGTAAACTTCTTCTTCAAGTTCACCATTCAGAAATGCATTTTTGACATCCATTTGATATAGAGGCCATGCATGGTTAATTGCAACAGATAACAACACTCGAATTGTGTTCATCTTAGCTACAGGAGCAAAGGTCTCCTTGTAATCTATCCCAAAAGTTTGAGTAAAACCACGAGCTACCAGTCTAGCCTTGTGTCTTTCCAAGATGCCATCAGAATGGAACTTGGTTTTGTACAACCATCTACTTCCCACTGCCTTTTTTCCTGGTGGTAGCTTGATAACACTCCACGTTCTATTGTCATCCAAGGCTTTCAACTCTTCCTTCATAGCTTTCTTCCACTCATCTTGCTGCATTGCCTCCTGAAAACTTCTTGGTTCAGAAGCATTGGTTATGGAATTGAGAAAAGATGCATGCTTGGGTGCCACCCTTTGGTACGAAAGGTACTTAGCAACGGGATACCTTGCATTGTAAGTCACATAATCCAGCAGCCTTGAAGGAGGTTGACGATTACGAGAAGGGTTTTTTCTTCCTTGAGGCAAGGCAGGTGATGATTCTAGGTCCTCAGGAGGTGAGTGGGATGTAGGTGACTGAATTGATGGTTCTAGCAAGATTTCCTCTTCATGACTTAGAGAATTCTCATGTTCTCTGTCAATGGACATGAATATATTTTCCTCACTGGTTGTTGGTCTTGGTAAAGGGAAGATTTCGAAGGCATTCTCCCCCTGACTTAAACCCTCCACTGATTGTTCAAAGAAAGGTGTAGTTTCATCAAACTTTACATCCCTTGAGATAATGATTTTCCTTGAAGAAAGATTGTAACACTTGTAACCCTTTTTGTGTTGAAGAATATCCCAAGAAAACATATTTGCTAGCCCTTGGGTCAAGCTTGTCACGGTGTATTGAAGCAACATGAACATAACAAGTACAACCAAAAATTTTTAAATGAGACAAGTTAATCTTTCTTCCTTTCAAGACTTCGTAGGGTGATTTTTGATCCAACACCCTACTAGGCAGTCTATTGATCAAATAGGTAGCAGAAAGCACCCCTTGAGACCAAAACTTCTTAGGAACATTCATATGTAACATTAAGGCTCTAGTCTTTTCAAGCAAATCCCTATTTTTCCTCTCGGCCACTCCATTTTGTTGAGGAGTGCCAACACAACTTGTTTAATGGAGTATCCCATGGGAACTTAAGTATTGAGACATGTTATTTGACATGTACTCAGTGCCATTATCAGACCTTAAGGTGTGAATATGACAATCAAAATGAGTTGTTACAAGTGTATGAAAATCTTTAAACACATTCATGACTTCACTCTTGCACTCTGAAAAGT